GGCATCGCACCCTCCCGATCTGCCCTGCTCTGTGCATGACGGGGCGGCGCCCCAACTCCCCAATCGGCCCTGCTCTGAGCCTGACCAGGGGCTGCACTTAGGGATTGGGCCTGCCCTCTGCCACCCGGGAGCAGGCCTAAGCCAGCAGGTCTTTATCTCCCGAGGGGTCCCAGACTGCGAGAAGGCACAGGCCGGGCTTGGGGACCCCCCCTCCCGCCCCCCGAGTGCACGAATTTTTGTGCACTGGGCCTCTAGTCTTATATAATAAAGAGGGAATATGCACATTGACTGTCACTCTGCCACAAAGATGGCGGTGCCCACAGTGGAGGCAGGGGGCGGGGAGGGTTCCGAAACACAAGAAGGCTGTACCCAGAGTGGAGGCCAAGTTCCTGTAATGAGCCTTAACGAGCAATCAGCAGGGACCTGAGGCTGCACCCCCCAAAACCCTCCCCCGTGGGGCTTGACAGGGGTCCTCAGGCTGCCCTCCCTGCCATGCCAGGCCAGAGAACCTGAAGCTATGACCCCACCCAGCGGAGCTTGACAAGGGTGGGTCCGGCCAGGTCTGGATCTAGCCCGATGGGGGTGAGGGCGGCTGGGTCTGGGTCTCACACGATTTCGAGGCGCACGTGGGTGGGCGGGGACTTGACTCTGGGTCCCGTGGTGTGCCCCAACTCTGACAGGAGGAAGATTTTCATATACATTCTACTAATTTTCTTTCATCTCTGACACTTCTATTATAGAGAAAGGGCAAATAGCAATATTAAAATATTTCCTCTAATTAATCTCCTTTTAATGTGCACCAATTTCGTGTACTGGGCCACTAGAGTGTGTGTGTGTGTGTGTGTGTGTGTGTGTATTAGAAACACTCACTGCCCAACAAGTCCCAGATTTATGACTGGGTTTCACTGAGATCTTGGCCAGACTCCGCTTCTGAGCCCTGTTCCCAGCATGCAGCTGTGCTCATTCCATGGTCTGTTGGCAAAACAGCACCGTGACTCTGAGCAGCCTCTAGGCAGGGCCTTTGAGAGCTCAGATGATGGGCCTGAAGTGGCCTTGTTTCTTTGTCTGAGGGGAGCCACACTCAGGGCCAGGCATGCTGTAGGCTGGTGGGTTTCATCTAGTGCTGCCCACAGGCAGGGGGCAGGGGTGGTGCTGCCATTGAACTTGGGTCTGGGTGTGGAGGGGCTTGATTCCTGGCTGCAGGCACCATTCATGGCAAGCAGGTGCTTTTGATGCTGTGTGCTAAGTGTCAGGGAGGCGGAAGGTGCCAACAGTTCAATAGACAAGACTCCTAACTCAGGCTGCGTGGGGGCAGCTGGGAAGGCTTCTTGGAGGAAATGACACCTGAGTGGAGTGATGGTGTGCAACTGAGTTTCCAGTTTGGAGGGTTGTGGGCAGGAGACAGGGGAACGGGCACTGGGGTGCAGTAAATCCTGTCACGTCTGTCACAGTCAGCACTTGCCCCAGTTGCTGGGATGAAGGCCTGTTGTCCTGGTTTCACATGAATCAAAACCAGGGAGATGCCAACGTGAGACTCTGGACAGGCAGGCCTCCTGCCTCAGGTGTAGCTGGGAGGGCATCACCTCTCCTGGGGCTGCGATGGAGGCCTCAGGGGAGGGGAGGTGTCTGAGGTTCTCCGTGAGCAGCACGGAGCAGGCAGGCTCGGGTGAGCTGTGTGGCCATGTGCCTGCCGTCCTCTCATCTCGCTGGTCGAGGAGGGTGCACGCTGATGGTGATCAGCTGCCCTGCCGCTCAGGTCTGGGCTGGCCAAGGGGGCTCGACCATGTGGAATTGCAGGCAGTTTGCTGCTCTTGGGCACGGGGTAGTGCTCTAGAACACGGGAACCGTCCCAGGAAGGAAAAGACGGCCAGTCCACCCTCAGGGCCCAGAGAGAAAGGCAGGTAGAAGGAAGGACCCTGCCTCCTTGCCCGGCTTCTGCACTGGCAGCTCTTTGAGGGAGGGCAGGTGTGCTTGGCAGCCTCAGCCCCGTGGCCCAGAGTGAATGTTTGCTGCAGCACTTGCTAAGGGCCGCAGGGCATCCCTGCCTCAGTCCTGCTAACAGAGAAAGCCGCAGGCCACTTGCCTCTGGGCTGACACAGGCAGGTGTGAACAGGGTTGTGCTGTGTATTTCCTTCTGATTTATTGGAAAATAAAGTTAAATTCTGGCCATATAAGTAATATGTGTTTCTTACAAACAGCTAGGAAAACACACAAGTAGTAAGAATAAGAGCCACCCTGAATCCCACCACTGAAAGACAGTCACTATGAGCGGTGTTAGTGTTTCCTCCCGGTGTCTGCATGAGCAGTTTGTGTTTCAGGCCCTGCCTTTCATATTCTGCCTTTTTCCCTCCCAGCTGACATGATAGCATGCGCATAACTGGTTATTGTTGTGAAGTGACAGTCAAGAAAGTTTTTCAGAAGAAGTACCACCCAGCATCCCCTTGTTGTGAGGGCTTGGAAGCGAGACAGTCATTCCTTACTCTGATCAGGGAGGGTGAGAGGTCACCCCCACGTAGAGTGGGATCCCTCTGCCCGTGGCTTTTCAGTGAGAGACGTCACAGTCACAGAACCCAGGCCTGGTCTTGTTTGCCAGGCAACACTTCTGCCACCCTGGCTGTCCTTCTCTGAGGCTTCAGGGCAGGGCACTTAGGAATACCAGGGGCCCCTCTGAAAAGCACCAGCTATTCAAGAAGCTCAAGTTTTGCCTCTGAGAACCTGGGGAGACTTTGTCCTTGACCTTTTACAGAGGACAGGAGGGGTGAGAAGCAGCATGGCCAGGCTCACCTGAGAGCTGGTGTCTCAGCCAGGGTCTCTGGCCTCCTCCTGGCCCGCTGCTTGGACTCCTCTGTGGTTGGGGCCAGGACTCTCACAACCAGCCGGTGTGGCTCAGTGATTGAGCATCAACCTATGAACCTGGAGATCACGATTGGATTCCCAGTCAGGGCACATGCACGGGTTGAGGACTCAATTCCCCAGTAGGGGACGTGAAGGAATCAGCCTATTAATGGTTCTCTCATCATTGATGTTTCTCCCTCTCCCTCTCCCTCTATGAAATCAATAAAAACATATTTAAAAAATTAAAAAGACACTTACACCTGATGCTCCTGTCCTGGCATGTAACCTATCTTCTTCTTCCCAAGGCCTCTGCTCATATGCAGACATAATGTTTATTTGGTTGTGATGAGGATTAGAAGTCCAGGTAGCTCTGACTTTTCACATATATTTATATCCTAACTATTCCTTCCTCTTACATAGCATGCTCCCAGTTACCGTGTAGTGGCTGCGCGCTCACCCAGTGACTAGAGAAGCTGTCATTTTGTTAGTCATTCTTTATTTTTCTTTCCTGTTCTCAGTGGTATCTTTCCTCTTTGTTTCTGTAGGAAGTTCTCCAGCAGCGGATCCTAATGAGCTTGCCGGATGTTTTGGTGATTGGCAAAGACCCGCTGTCTGGTGAGTGAAACCCACCCCCCTCGGTGGGCTTGGCCAGTACCAGTGGCTCTGGGCAGCTGTTGGACACAGAGCTCTGGCTGCCAGCTTGGAGCCAGCAGAGTGAAAACACGTGATCATTCTGGTGAGATTTTGAAGAATGGGTGTGTTCCTCTGAGGCAGGAAGCCAAGGCCCCTGCTTCGGTGGGCTTAGGGGCCCGAGTCTTTGTGGCCTCTCTGGGGTCTCTCCTCCTCAGTAAATGTGGGGTCAGGGCCACCTTCACAGGGTGGGTACCTTTTGGTAAGAAAGGAGGAATCTGTGGAGGAACTCACCTCTCTCTTCCACGGGGACCCTGTGATGCCCTTTTCAGTCCGTGGTGGGTCTCACCAGGAAGTCCTGGCATGTCTGCCACTGTGCCCTGAAGCCCGAGAGGGCAAGGGTTCCAAGTCCTAGCCTTGGACACACACTGTGACCTTGAAAGACAGAATGAAATGTGTTCCTGGACATCTTCCAGAAAGTCAGAGTTAATTCATGCTTGTCAGGTGGCTCCCTGGGGAGTTAAACAGGGCGGCGGATTTCCTCCCGCCACATCCTGTGCCTCTGCCTGCACCACGGCTCCCGGACAAGCACCCTGTTCTCTTACCTCTGGGCCTTTGCACGTGCTGTTCCTGTGCCTGCAGCGCTCTCGCTCACTGTGTCCTAAATCTCCCCCCTCACCCTGTGGGTCTCAGCTCAGAGGTCACTTCCTTTAAGAAGCCTGGCCTGAATCTCACTGCAGACTAGAGGTCCTTCTCCCAGGTTCCCTTTCCAGCTTTTCTTTGTTGATTTTCTTGGTCTGAGCCAGAGGACTGTGTTGATTACGACAAAGCTCCCAGCAGCCAGAACACATGGGTGCCTGGAAGGGAGCTGTCTGTAGGTTTGTTTCTTCTTTACCTGCTTGACTGTCACTGAGCCAATCTCACTGACAGGGACCCACTATCTTCTCTATGTTTGAAACTATTCAAAACCCACAATCTGGTAGAGTTAAGAGAATAACAGTTTTTCTTACTTTAAAATCCTGAGAGAAATCAGCCTCCCATAAGAAATTAGAGAACTTCTGCTTCTCTCTCTCTCACAAGTTTCACCGGAATCTGTGTGGGGATAAAAAGCACAGGATGCTTTGTTTGCACCACATGTTTTATTCCACTCACCTGGTGAGAACAAACAGAGCACTGCTCCACCGGAATCTCCTAGTGCCCTGTTTGTTGCCCCAAAGCTTATTTTAAATCATTTTTTTCCATGAAGATTTTTTCTAAGATTAATCCTCTACCTTTTAAACCTTCCCCCTCCCCACCACCCCGTGTTAACAAAACTTGGCAAACAGAAATTCTACACATTTCTAACAGTGCTCTGGTTCAGATTTAGTTTTCTCTTGATGCCTGATGGGTGTGAACGAATGAATAGAATGAATGAATGAATGAATGGCTCATGGTTGTCATGTGTGTAACTGCTGGTGCTGAGGAAGCGGGACCCTTTGCTCTTTCATTGAGCCGCCTCACACTGTAGATCAAGCTCATGTGTGTCTGTGTGTATCTGTGTGTGTCTGTGTGTATCTGTGTGTGTCTGTGTGTACAGGGTTTCTAGTCTCCTTTTTGCTTATGGTCTTGCTACTAGCAGTGGGCCTGTACTACATGTGTTTGCACTTTTAATGCTGTTTTCCTCTGCTGTGGCTGGGAACAAAGATTCTCAGAGCTGTTGCAGTTATTCTAAAGTATGGTACACTTAGACCCTCTGCTGTGAACATGAAGATTTTCTGTGTGAACTCTGCCTTCTGTTTCTGCTGTCTGAGCCCTCCAAACACGTTCTTGCTTATGTGTCAGCTCTCTGGTGGCTACAGCACCATGTACAAGCCTGGGGGAGGTGAATCGCTGTAGGAAGGGCAGCTGGCGATGGCTGGGAGGGTCTGTGCCTGTAATATCCACCAAAGGGCTTACAAGAGGCACTTCCCTGTCATGTGGGGACTGACTGGGGGGAGCCTGGAGGGGACGGTCACACGGGCACACGGGCTAGTGGGCGAGAGCACTGTGGCCATGGAAAGGTTTTAATGGGACTGTTTGGAGGCTGTTAACACTCTTATGCTCATTCTCTTTCTTTTTTATCAAGACTGAAATTGTGGCTGATCATCAGCTCAGCATTAATAGAGAAGTGAGTCAGGGCTGTGATTCTATTTATGAATGACTATGGATTGGAGCCTCTTGGGGCAAATGAAATGCCTCAAGAGAAAAGACAATCATAAGGCTTTGAGAATTATTCCATTTGAACACTGAGAAGTTCTACTCTTACTAGCAAAGGGAGTCTTTGACCATAGTAGCTGGATCTGCAGCACCCACCCTTACTGAGCATATTGCTAAGAGCTGGATCTGGATGGTCCGAGGGGACCCTGTGTGATTTTTTTTGGTCCTGTCTGATTGGCAGGGCTGAGAAGGAGCAGTGTGATAGTGTTGGTCTGGGTCTGTGGAAATCGGGCTTATCATACGTTGGTGTGAGAGAGTGAAATGGTAAAAGCCTTTCCACCTGACAATTTGGCAGTAAGAAAAGCTTAAAGGATGAGTTTTCCCTTAAGAGGTAAATAAGAATCTGCTTTATAAACCAGCAGCCAGGGGTGGGGAACCTTTTTTCTGCCAAGGGCCATTTGGGTATGTATGATATCATTTGTGGGCCATACAAAATTATCAACTTAAAAATTAGCTGCTATATTTGGTCAAACATTTCATTAACTCGCTCCTAATGCCTTGGGAGGGCCAGACCAAATGATTTTGGAGGCCTTATATGGCCCTTGGGCAGGACATTCCCCACCCCTGCTTCCAAGCCCTGGCCTGTGTGGTTCAGTTGGTTGGGCATCGTCCCGTGCATCAAAAGGTTGCTGGTTTCATTCCTGGTTAGGGCATAGGCCTGGGTTTCCAGTTCTATCTCAAGTTGGGGGGGGTGAGTGGGAGGGGGTGTGCAGGAGGCAGCCTGTGCATCTCTCTAACATTGATTTGTCTTTCTCTCCCTTCCTCTCTAAATTTTTTTAAATGAATTGCTCTTCTTTCTTCTAAAACCAAACAAACTAGCCACTGAGATGTTGTCTAGCATCATTTAGATCAGCAGTTCTCAACCTGTGGGTCGCGACCCCTTTGGCGGTCGAACGACCCTTTCACAGGGGTTGCCTAAGACCATCCTGCATATCAGATATTTACATTACGATTCATAACAGTAGCAACATTACAGTTATGAAGTAGCAACGAAAATAATTTTATGGTTGGGTCACAACATGAGAAACTGTATTTAAAGACAAAAGTGACACCTTAGGTTGTCTGGGTTTTCTTTGGAACATTCCAGCCAAACACTGACAGAAACGGGGGGAGGAGGGCGGCGGGACAGATGTGCAGGATGTTGGCAGCGTGAAGCTGGGGGACGCGTCTGGGGCTTGTCTATTTGCAATGCTGCACGATGAACAGGTAGAGTTGTGGGCACCTCATCTTAGAGCCCACTCAGCACTTCCTTCGGAGACGCCTCTCTGCCATTGGGCTTGCTTCCCGCACACACTAACAAGAGATGCTGACGTTGGAGTTCGTGGATTATCATGGGACAATATTTATGACATATTTGAGTGGGAAAGGACCACAAATACTTATGTATAGAATTCTCATTTGGCTTAAATAATATATAAGCCCATACATAGAGAACAGATGGCGGGGTTCACCCAGGTCGAAATGATTTTTTTTAGCTTATCTGATTTCCCCCCCAACAGCAGAGTGGTGTATCATTGGTGAGATTTTATGAGAAGATGAGTCTATTGAATATGTTGCTCTTTTGATTTAGGACAAAGTATGGAGGAAATGGAGAAGATGCTGGTGCTGGTGCTGGGCTGTGCTGTCCAGGTAGGGCTTGGGCAAGGGTGGAGGGGGCCTGCCCTTGGCCATCTTGTGTGTGGGTTTGTGGGGATAAACTCCCCCTTAGTGAGTGAGGTAGGAGGGACGCTGCCTTCGGTCCAACATGACACATCCCGGCTTCCTGAGAGAAGGGACCACTCATTAGGTGGCAGCCGATTCTAGTCCCAGGGCACCTTTGGCAGAAGCAAGTGGGGATTCCTCAGCCCAGGTGCCCTTAGCAAATTGTCCCCAGTATAGGGACACCTAGACCAAAGACCAGAAACTCCTTCCAGCCTGAGGGCCCCATCTGACCACCCCTGATTTTGGAAAAAACTTTCATGGGCACAGGGCCCCACTCGATTCTTCCTGTATTATCTCTGGCTGCTCGCACAGCACATGGCAGAGCTGAGACTAAATGGCCCACAGACTCTGAGACGTTCCTACATCTGGCCCTTTGGAGACGAAGGTCGTCACCCCTAGTGCTCTTGACCTTTACTGGTTTAAGAGTCACTGGAGCTTGTTTAACGTGCAGATTTCTGTGCTTCACCTCCAGTGTTTTCAACCTGATGGGCTTTTTGAAAACCAGTTCCCCCGGTGATTCTGCTGTGGGTGGTCAGAGCAACTTCTAGAGAAACCTCTGTCTAAGGGACAGGAGGGAGGACAAGCTCTTGGTTATAAAGGAGGAAGCCAGGGGCTGGGTGGGCAGCTCATCTGGAAACTATTTCTGTGGCTGTGGTGGGCGGCTGTGGTGCCAGGTTGCCTCACTTGCAGAATGCTCCCATTAACACACGTTACCTCCGCAGTGCGACAGGAAAGGGGCATTTATTGAAAAAATCCAACAGCTTGACATTGAGACCCAGGCCGGGATCCTGGCCCATATCCGGCAGGTAGGTGTGAGGCTGGCTTTGTGGGGCTTAGCCGTGGACCCCCTCTACCGTGGCAACCAGGAGGCAGGCTCTCACCACCAAGGAAAAGTTTAAAGACTACATCACCCACTAGTGATTTTCCTAATTTTAGGTTTCATACACCAGACATATTGAACCTGTTTGGAAAGGTAGTCATCAGCAAGCTAAAACAAAATGGGGGGAAAAATTTAAAAAAAAATTTTTATACACCCAAATCAAGTCTTCATTTGCGTCCTCTTCTTGCCTAATATGGAGCCAGACTGGTTTTGAGTACTGTCAAGGGGCTTGGGCTCAGAATTTGATTTGCCCTGAAAATGTGTTCTGGCCAATGTGGCTCTGCTTCCCATGGCTGGTCTTCCCAGGGAAAGGGTCTCCGTTTCTGTCAGGGACGTGGCAGAGAAACAGGCTGCCAAGTCCCAGAAGGGCTGTCGCTGTAGACTCGGCCCTGGAAAAAAAAAATTTTATACACCCAAATCAAGTCTTCATTTGCCTCCTCTTCTTGCCTAATATGGAGCCAGACTGGTTTTAAATACTGTCAAGGGGCTTGGGCTCAGAATTTGATTTGCCCTGAAAATGTGTTCTGGCCAATGTGGCTCTGCTTCCCATGGCTGGTCTTCCCAGGGGAAGGGTCTCCATTTCTGTCAGGGACGTGGCAGAGAAACAGGCTGCCAAGTCCCAGAAGGGCTGTCGCTGTAGACTCGGCCCTGGGGTGGGGTCGGGAGGGCTGTGCACTGAGGGCAGTCCCTCTGCCATGGACCTCGGTGACATCAGAGAAGTGGTTTCCCTGGAAACCGGGCCTGTGGGGGCAGCACTGACCTGAAAGTATATTTCCCTGAAATCCCCCCTCCTCCCTCCAGAAGAAGCCTTGTTTGATTTAGTTATCTTAGGGGATGTGGCTCAGCCTTCAGTCTGATTGGACAGCTGAGATAAAGGCATGAAAAAGGCATGAGCAGGAGCACAAAGGAGCAGGTGTGGGGCTGGCAGGGGCCGCTGCCGTACCCCAGGCTGGAGCCAGGGACAGGCTGGGCTGATGGGCACCATGGGTGGTGGGTGCTGAGTCAGCACTGGAGCAGGAGTGGAAAGCGACTGGTCGAAGTCAAGGGGAAGTCAGCATTGTCCTAAATACGCTCAGCCATTCATGATGGTGAGCGGCCACCTGTTAGCCTGAGGACCATTCTGCTTTTTTTTTTTTTAATCCTCACCCCAGGATATTTTCCCATTGATTTTGAGAGAGAGAGGAAGAGAGAGGGAAAGACTAAGAGAACTATCAATGTGAGAGAAACACATGAATTGGTTGCCTCCTGCGTGCTTCCTGACCAGGGCCTGGCCAGGGAGGAGCCAGCAACTGAGGTACATGCCCTTGACCGGAATCTAACCCGGACCCTTTGGTCTGCAGGCCAATGCTCTATCCGCTGAGCCAAACTAGGTAGGGCCATTCTGCCTTTTAATTTTCCTTGTGTGTCCTTGTGTTTTGAACATGTATGTATCCGGGTACTAGGTCTCTGCTACTCACTGTTTTCCCTGCTCAGCCAGCAGGATATTTAAAATAAAGGAGGGGGGGAGGGTTTATAATGCAGCCAGAGGGTCTTGAGTGATAATCACATTCAGCCCTGGCCCTGGGGAAAGGGCTTCAGAATTATTGGTGCTTCTCAAACATTCAGGTGCCGGGCCCTATAAGAGACCCACCGAGTCAGAATTGGGGGAGGAGCAACACGAGCCTTTAATTAAGCTGCTCCTGTGGCCCAGCCTGTGTGTCTCAGTGGTTGAGTGTCAACCCAGGAACAGGGTTTATAATGCAGCCAGAGGGTCTTGAGTGATAATCACATTCAGCCCTGGCCCTGGGGAAAGGGCTTCAGAATTATTGGTGCTTCTCAAACATTCAGGTGCCGGGCCCTATAAGAGACCCACCGAGTCAGAATTGGGGGAGGAGCAACATGAGCCTTTAATTAAGCTGCTCCTGTGGCCCAGCTGGTGTGGCTCAGTGGTTGAGTGTCAACCCAGGAACCAAGAGGTCATGGTTTGATTCCTGGTATCAGACTCCATCCCCAGTAGGGGGAGTGCAGGAGGCACTCTCTCATCAATGTTTCTCTCTCCCTCCCTCTCCCTTCCTCTCTCAAATCAATAAAAACATATTTTAAAGAAGTAAAACATTTTTTTTAAAAAGCTGCTCATGTGACTGCTGTGCAGCTGGGTTGTGTCCCAGGATCCCCTCGGACATCAGAGGCCTTTCCCCAGCACTGGGTTGGAGAGGCCTAGAGCCCAGCCTCGGAGCCCCACATCCCTGCCTTTCTGGTGCCTCTCGACACAGGCAGAGATTTCTCTGAATTCTCTGAGACCCGCTGAATCCCAATGTTTCCTTTGTGAAGTGGGAAAGGTGAGAAAGTGGATGTCAATTGAGGACTGAAAGGTCCTTTTTACTTGTGGGTGTTTTTTTTTTGTGGGGTTTTTTAATCCTCATCCAAAGATATTTTTTATTGCTTTTTAGAAAAAATGAAGAGGGAGGAAGAGGGGAGAGGGAGAGGGAGAGAGAGAAACACATTGATGTCAGAGAGAGACACAGACTGGTTGCTTCCTGCACGGGTCTGGGGATCAAACCATCAACTGAGGTATGTACCCTTGACTGGGAATCAAGCCCGAGACCCTTTGGTCCACAGGCTGACGCTCTAACCACTGAGTGAAACCTGCCAGAGCAGGTGTGTTTTTTTAAGTTATTCTCCACCTCCATTTACCCTCTGGAAAATGTGAGAACGTTTTTTGGTGCACATCACTCAGTGGATTGCCATTTGTTTTTCCCTTTTGAGGCCCACGTGCACGAACACTCACCTTCCCAAACTGAGAAGACAAGGATGGAAACAGACCTTCTGCCTCCTCTAGAAGGTCTGGGGGTCAGGTTGAGGAGGTGAGACCGGGCCGCAGCTGGTTTGGCTCAGTGATTAGAGTGCCAGACTGCCAACCAAAGGGTCGCAGGTTTGATTCCCCATCAAGGGCATGTACTTGGGTTTCAGGTTTGATCCATGGCCATCTTCGCGTTAGATTTTATTTGAAGAATAAGATGCTATCCCTCCTGACCCTCCCCTCCCAAGGCTTACCCTCTTTGTGTGACACATGGATGGACGCGACTGAAATCCCTGGGACAGTTGAGGGAGCTCCCACACTGGGCGGAGTGCTGTCTGGTGGGAAGTCAGTGTCCTCCTTGAGCTAGTATGACAGCAGCAGTGGTGTGTGAGGAAAGAGCTCGGCTGCAGAGTGTGGCTGCACTTGCTGAGGAGCCTGCCCGCCCCCCACAGGAACTTGGTGGCTGAGGGTTAATAATGTCAGTGAGGTGGGTCAGCTGTGGGAGAGTGGGCCTAGGTCCCAGGGGGCGTGGCCTTGGGAGGTGGGTGCTCTCAGGG